TTAAAAACAAAACAAACCACAATCACAACAAGTACCTAATTAGGGATTGAAGAATAGGGTGAAATTTGTACTAAGCGAGATTGAATCTAGACAATGTGACAAGCTCGAAACAGTTATGTAGTGAGTGAAGCGTGAATATCAATTGGGCTAACTGAGAGGCAAGAGCAATGACACTATGTTCCTGGGTAATTTTGTTGTGAACAAAGTGAAAATGGGTATTTGTGTTATTATCATGAGAATATTGTGTTGTGATTGAAGCGAGAATCATGGAGTGACTACAATGGCGCGCATGAGCATGGTATTTTAAATTTCATGTGAAATTGAGTTAATATTTTTGTTAAAAAAAAGTGATATTAAAAGCCCATTTTTACAACAACATTTTAATAAGCTATTGTTTATTGTTATTTTTTTAAAAAGTGGACAACTCTTGTTACTAAAAGTGCTATCAAAGACATGTTTTATAACACTATTTTTTATTAAAGGTTTTATTTGTTGCTATTTAAAAAAATGAACAGTGGTGCTTGTTATTAAAAGTATTATCAAAAATTTATTTTATAACACCTTTTATTTTATTTTTTTATTGAAGTATTGTTAAATATGGCCCAAGTTATAATAACATCACTTCTACCAAAATAATTTTGTCTAATGTGTGTTGTCTAATGTCTCTTTTGTAGTAGTGTTTACTTAACGAAGTTTTAGACTTACAAATGAACTAATTGTCTTAATAAAAGAATGAGTAAAACGTTACGTTTTGATTTAAATTTACCATCCTACACATACTTGTTTCATTCATTTAATTATCTTTGTAGGTAAAAAAGTGTGCATAGTCTTCATAAGTAAAAAAAACATACCAAAGAAGCTCAAATTTAAAAAGTGAAATCCCTTTAACTTACCTACTACATATAAAAATGCATGCTTCTCAAGAAGGAAAAAAAAAGGCTCAATAGTGTACAATGTTTGGTAAAGTAGAACTTTGTTCTTTTATTCAAGGAACAAGTACTAGAAAAGTAAGATAAACAAATTACTTTATCTTTTCAATATGACTAGTTGTAGAAAAGCAATAAATGCAACATTTATTGTTTCAAATGTTCATATTTACACAAGTAAAAAAGATCTCAACGTTTATTAATGTTCATAATTTTAAAGATGAAGAAGACAAATATGCAAGAACTTGAACATAAATTCTTACATTTTCTTCTATAACTAAAAGTGGGCAATCCTTGTTACTAAAAGAAAACAGCATGTTGCACAACATGCTTCAAGAAATTTTTTTGGAATATATTGCTTATTGTAGTCAAGGTGTAACTATATTGCTTATTGCTGCTTTACTCTTAATTACCTGAAGACATTATGAAGTACAATGTTGAATCCTGAATTGAACAAATACCATCAACAAATGTGAAACTATATTGGGTTGTCTTGCTATGTTTAGAAATAGATATTAGATTAATGTTAAATTCAGGGAAGAATAATGTATTCCTAAGGATAAGATCATCTGAAAATTTTACATCTCTCGCTCATTGTGCCACCATCACATTCCCATTGCAAGCTTACTGGAGTAGGCCTAAGATTTATCTTATGAAAGTTTTCAAACCAATTAATGGATGTTTATATGTGATCTATAGCCCCTGATCCACTATCGATAATTGGCTACCCTTAACAGTCCTACATGAGAAGTACCTTCATAGTGATTCATGGATAAATTCCTCCCAACACATGCTTGGTTGACTGGTAGTATTCTGAGTAGGATCTCTCACCAAATTAGCTTCAGCTACAAAGGTATTAGAGGGATGATTCTAATGATTATGATTTATGACCATGATGAACAAAAGGTAGTAGAGCTCACAAGGAGCTCTGATACCATGAAACCAACTTTGATTGAAAAGAAGGATAAGAAGAGTAAATCTCTAAGAAATTGAAAAAATGATTTCTTTTACTTGAATTATCATCACCGACCGATAACAATTTTTTATATAAACGAGGGAATGAGTAAACGATAACTTCCTAATAGAATATTTAGTGAGCTAACTAACTGATACAACAACTAATAAACTAATTGTCCTCCAGTTCAACAAGTATTACATCATATCATTATTCATAATAGTTATTATAAAAAAATTATTCTCATTTCACTTTATCATTCGACACATATAACATGCTTTATTTTCAGTCGCATTATTTTTGTTACTAATATTTGAGATCAATTTAGTAATCTTCAAAGAATGATGTCTCATTCGCTATTGCTATATATAAAGAAGTCTTTTCACCTACTTTCTAAGCTCTCGTGCCAAATTCTTCTACAATAGTAAAGCCTATATCTTTATTCACCCAACCCAATTAGAGTCCTCGAAGTGTAGTCTTCCATGACACAAAAAGCTCAGTGAGTTGGATTATAAAATTTGTATCACCTATTAATTTAGACAATACAATCAAGTTGCAATACAATCTATGTACATTAACAAATTAACAACTTTCAACCCTCCTTCAAGGATCACAATTCTCTCTTTAATTATCATAGCTTGCTTCCCATTTGGTAATCACACTATTAGCCATCCTTGCAAATTCTTTAGCTTGTGAATAAGTGTTAAAATTTGAGTCATGTGATTAACTCTTATATAAATAGTCTACATTATTTCCTTTCTCATCATCCTTTCGACATTGTCCCCTTGTGATTGTTTAGCATGCCTGCTTAAATTTGCCACCACTCACTACTCAAGTCTTTGAGCTCCCCTTTGTCTGGATCTGTTGCCAAACCAATTGTCCCTCTAGTAGAGAAATTCAAGGCAACATTCATACAAATACTCATTCCATTCTACAATGATCATTCAAATTCACATTCTTCTTTTGTCCTCTTTTCCATCTTTGATAAATGTTCTTCTTTGTGAGTATTTTGTCATTTTCATACCCTCAACACTATTCATGATCAGAACCTAAATAATGGAAGAAATGATTATTTTTCACATTGATATTCACAAGTTTATGTACATTGTTTATACACAAGTATAGTCTAAAATAAATAAATCTCAATTGACTTGGAAAACCTAAAATATTAATTATTAATGATTGCAACAAATAATGGAAACAAAACATTATTGATATGATTAATGATCCAAAGAATAAAGGTAAAAAAATAAATCTGAAATTTAATGGAAGTCATATGCAAGTATTCGTACTTGTTTATCAACTCTCAACTCCCTTAAAAGATAATTGTCTTCTATTATATTCCTTACTAGCATAAAGCCAAATTGGTTTTCCACCATCCTACTATATCTTTTCTCAATCGATGCTTAATCTCATTTTGTTATAATTTCGACTTTATAGTTTATCCCTATATCATTTATGCAATTTTAAATATATCCTTTGTTGTTACATTTAGGAATTAAATGGTTGGACAAGAACAAGTAAAGAGGAGAGATTTTCCAAAGAACCGGTAGAAAGAGTTTATTTTTTTTTTTATGATACTTAAACACATTAAACATATAAATGTATAATTAAAGAGTTGGACATAAGTGATTAATATATTAAATTTAAAGTTAAATTATTTAAACAATCTCTAAATTTGATTTTCAGTAAAATCAATCCTTGATATAACCAAATCAGATTAATTTAAAACAAAACTTTGGTTTCAGAAATTAAAAAAAAAAAAAATTCATGAGAAAAATTAAAAGGTTACATTAAAAAAAAGTAAAAATAAAAGGTGCAAATTACAATTACCTTTATATTAATAAGTCTCTTAGATTAAAAAAAACTAATGACAAAATGGATAAAAAATATTAATAAATCTTCTATAGATAAAAAAAACTAAAAATTGAATAAAAAAAATATTAATAAATCTCCTGAGTTATTTGGATTGACATATTTATTCACATGTTCGTAGGTTTTATTAGGACACAAATCTTTAGTTTTTTTTTACCTAATCAAACTTTTAAATAACTCAAACCAGGTTTGAAAAACAAAATTCACTCCATTTATACTCTTAATGAAGAAGATATCTTCTTTTGGTATACATGTTTTTTTAGATTATTTTGTTATTATAACTTGTATATTATATCTTATTTATCTTTTATAATTATTTAAAAATTATTTCAAATTGCTAATCACTAACTATTATTTAATTTTAAATATTTTTTTCTATTTAAAAGTAGACAGATACTATAATTTTATTTCACAGTATATATAACTTAGATTCGTACTTTTATAATATATTAAGAGTTAAGAATAGGAGTATAAATGGGTAAGGATAATCCACGAACCCGAACTGATCCAAATCAATCTGACCCAATCTAATAATAATAATAATAATAATAATAATAATAAATAGTGTTTAAATAATTACTTATTTAGAACAATATTCGTCATCACTAATAGTGTTTAAATAATCACTTATTTAGAACAATATTCATCGTCATTCTTATTTAATAACAAGTTTTGTTTTACGTTAATAATATATTGTAACAATATAATAATTATTTTAAATTTTATTTTATATTATCTAATGTTGATTTATTGAGTTGATAATAATATAATAAATTAATAAATTTATTTTAAAATTTAATTTATATTATTATTTGTTTTATAGGTCGATAACATTGAATTTACAATATCTATTTTAAAATATTTAAATTTTTATAATAAATAAATAAATATAATTATATTAATTTAATTAATCAAACTCAACCCAACTTATTCATAATTAGGTTGAGTTGAATTAGGTTTTTCTAAAAAATTACACAAATTCAATTTAATTCAATCCATTAAATTTTAGTTGGATCGATAACGGATTTATTCAAATTAGACTCTAATTCAACCCACTTATATCCTTAGTTAAGAAGCTTAAAACTAACTTACAAAATCTAACCTTAACCCGTTTCTACCCCTATTGATGAGGTGCATACACGAAGTAAGATTTTTGTTATAATTATTCAAGCACATAACAATATACGCCGTAACAAGCACGAAGCACGAATTTTGGAAGTAAAAGATTGACTTGTGGCCATTACCATTTTCCTTGACTGACTTAGTTCTATAAGTATCCAAAATAGCCATCATATCTGACCTGACCCGACCCGATCCAGCGGACCCAAATCTTTGGTTTGTTCATCGCCTTGTGCCTGCAGTTCAAACTTCTCTTTCTTTCTGTCGTGTTTTTTAAGTTTGATTCCGAAAAAATAAAATAAACCTTCTTTTCTTCTTCCAAGCCTTCACCTTTTTGATCTCTTATGCGACCCAATTCCACGCCCCTTTCTTCCCCCATGCCATTTCTGATCCCATACTCACACGGGTCTTGCACCTTTTGCTCTCACGACCTTGGTTTCCGTGTCTGATTCTACTCCCACGTGCCGGGGAAGTGCAAAGTTTTGTTCTTTAGCTCAAACTAGAAGTGGGTTTTCGCTGTGGCTTCTTCAATCTCAACGTCAAAGCCAGCATCATAGGTTTTTGGTACTCAAAAACTCTTTTTTTTTGTTTGCCTTCCCTTTCTGCTGTATCAATTTTTGACTATTAGTTCATGCCTTATTGTCAATTTTCTGGTGTAGTTTATGTTTGATGTAATTTGTAAATGAATTTAGAATCCCTTTGATGCTTGGTGTGTTATCACTGGATGTTTAGTTCTACTGTTATGGCTGCTTCCAAGAAACCCCGCCTTAGGCTTAGAGATGTGGCCTTGTGCCGTCTGTTATCTGTAGTGTTTGTTACATTATGTGGGGTTTTGCTTCTGATATTTCTCCTTGCATCAAATTCAACATCAATTGGGACTCACGATGTTGGCAATGTTGATGCATACCGTCATGACTTGAAATTTGCAAAGTGGCCTGATCTCCCCCAACTGAATGACTTGTCACTTAGATTGGAAAAGCTAAACAGGTTGCCTCCTAGAAACTTGGATTTGCATCCAACTCTCGCGAAGGATCATATCATTGTAGTTCTGTATGTTCACAACCGGCCTCAGTATCTTAAAGTGGTTGTTGAGAGCCTTTCGCGGGTGGCGGGGATTAGTGAGACCTTGCTAATTGTTAGTCATGATGGATACTTTGAGGATATGAACAAGATTATTGATGGTATCAGGTTTTGTCAAGTTAAACAAATATATGCTCCCTATTCGCCGCATCTGTTTTCTGATAGGTTTCCTGGGGTTTCGGCTAATGACTGCAAGGACAAAGATGATGCCCTGAAAAAACGTTGCGAGGGGAATCCTGATCAGTATGGAAACCATCGGTCGCCAAGGATTGTATCACTGAAACATCATTGGTGGTGGATGATGAACACGGTGTGGGATGGATTGAGAGAGACAAGAGATCATTCCGGTCATGTTCTTTTCATTGAAGAAGATCACTTCATATTTCCCAATGCGTACCGCAATCTACAGGTTTTAACTTCACTGAAGCCTAGAAAGTGTCCTGATTGTTATGCTGCAAATTTAGCACCTTCTGATGTTAACTCTAGAGGTGAAGGATGGGCTACTTTGATTGCTGAGAGAATGGGAAATGTTGGTTACTCTTTCAATCGAACTGTTTGGAGAAAAATACACAACAAGGCTAAAGAATTTTGTTTCTTTGATGACTATAATTGGGATATCACAATGTGGGCAACTGTTTATCCTTCGTTTGGTAGTCCTGTTTACACGTTGCGAGCTCCTAGGACCAGTGCCGTTCATTTTGGGAGATGTGGTTTGCACCAGGGTCAGGGGGAGAATAAGGCTTGCATTGATAACGGCATGGTGAACATTAATGTAGAAGATCCTGACACAGTTTCTAACATTGAATTAGATTGGGAAGTCCACACCTATCAAAACCAACCTGGCTATAAAGCAGGGTTTAAAGGTTGGGGAGGTTGGGGGGATGATAGAGATCGTCACTTATGCTTGAGTTTTGCCAAGATGTACCACTCCAAAGGCACTGCATATCCATTGTAAGAGTTAGAATATCTGGATGCTGCATCTTTTTATTCTTCTCCCACTTTTTTTGTTTTCATTTGGTTTATTATATCACGTGAGAAGATTAGGTTTTTCAATACAGGAATTGATAGTAGACATTCACAGAGGGTGTTAGGGTTCATAATTACTTTCATAACCATCACTATATCTTATGTACTAGTTGTAACATTGAATCAGTATTCATCAATATTGGTTCTTCCTCACATGAAGGAAGCTTTTGTGTATTATGTGAACTGCTTTTTCTCTCCATTTGCTTTTGTATTTTGTATTATGGAGAGACTTATCCAAACAGGACCCATGTGAACTGATCTCTCTCTTCATGTGCACATTTACAATGTTTAGGCGTGGGAAATTGTATGTTTAGGGCATTTGAGACCTTTAATTTTCTTTGTGTTTTCCCATGTTTCTATATCTTATGTACTAGTGGTAACATTAAATGGATATTCATTTATATTGGTTCTTCATGTGCACATTTACAATGTTTGGGGCATTTGAGACCTTTAGTTTTCTATTTGTTTTCCCATGCTTCTGTCACTGAATGAGAATGCTCTCATTGGTTATGTTACTGGACTCTTTTAGTTTTAACCAAAGTATATGGTTATATAACTATCTAAATTTTAACGCAAAAAATAACATGGATTTCAATTGTTAAATGTCATTGATGCTCAACATGTTCATCACTTGTCAAATGTTAAATACCACTTGATGCTTCAAATTTTGCAGTTAACTCAACACTGAAACAGTTCAACATGTATGCTAAATTAGAGACAGGGATGGGTAAGCACAAAGGTAATCAACGCATTTGTTTACCATTGCCTCAATGGAGTTAATTACGGAATCACAGTGTGAAAGTTTTAATTAGAAATTACAACAATAAATCTGAAATTTTACACTGTTTGTGGAAGATAGAGCATTCCTTTGCTGTTACAGAGACTAAAATATAATCAATTTAACCAGCTTTCTCTAACTTCAAGTTGTACTATGCATACAAGTCATTCGTTGCCATTGTTCCTGAACAATAATTATAGGGCATACGCATAAAATATTAACTTAAAAATCTTCAAGAGGCAAATACTTATTAACAGTAAAGACAGCTAGCTTCCCTTTTCTGACTCATTCCTGTAGTGTCCTTTCCAGATTTGCAAAAATATATTATTGTTTTGGTCCATTTCTATGCTTTTGAGGAAATAAATGATTACTCTTCATTGTGTGTATCATATCTACTTTATTTAAATTTTTAAAAGCACAGTAATGGAAGCAATGGAGAATATTCCTCCATAGTGAAGACTTTAAGACTTTGTGTTTCATCTTTCTCAATTCTAGATGTGTCTTAAATTCCTTAACCATCACTCCCTTGTTGCTTTTCAGAAGAGACTTGAAATTTGTTTAAACAGCTGAATCATAGTGAATAAAGTGTACGGAGAACCAAAATTTGTACGCTTAGAAAGTGTTCCAAAGGTAATCACTTTCCTTTTAAGTGATTATTATAAAAACATTTATCAATAAATGATCAATAACTTATCTCCCGAGTACCAATCACACAAGGGTGCCAATTACCATAACAATCCCCTGCAATTGGGTATGCCAAGTGGTGTCTGTGCTGTCATTTTTTCCTCAAATCAGCTTCCTGCATATATTGAAGTCTCAGATTATTGATGAATACGAAAGTCAAAGATGATATTTTGCAAATTATTAGCTGAAAAAGCACAATGCCGAGCAAACTATTGTCATGACAATGAAAGTCTTACAGGTAGCATTGTTAGTTTTTTACAAGAGGGGAAGCAACTTCTAATCAAGCAAACTATACTTGAAATCTTCCAAGGGCAAAAAAATGTTCAAATGTTGCATTTACTAACTGTATTGCAAATGTTACATTTACGGTACGTGTTGTCTCATCAATGCTTTGAAAGTAAACATGTCTGCAACTCCTGTTCATTAGTAAGCTTGCAATCACAACCAAAAATCCAATAGCATAGCCAAATGCTATGACAAAGTAAAACCAAAATATCTCTACTGTATCCTCTTTGCCGCCTTTGTCTTCATCTTCATAGCCATGTTTGAAATCATCAGTAGAACATCCATTTGGCAGAAGAGTTCCACAGAGAAATGGGTTTCCGGTATAAATAAAAGCATCATCAAGGCTTGATAATTGATTTCCTATGCAAATTGGTCCCGAAAGATTGTAGGACAAATTGAGTGGCTTAACGAAGTTAAACTTGATATGCTAACTGAAATTGTGCCTTAAAGTTGGTCATGAGATATGTTAGAGATTCTAGGGATTTCATGTCTCCTATCCTTAATTTTAGGGATATGTCTTGACAGATACTTGTATAATTTAGAGTCTTTCTGAATACAAGTTTAAAGAAGTTTCTTTGAAAGATTTTTTTTGAAAATTAAATAAATTTTTTTCTAATGAAGAAATTATCTAAAAACTCTTCTAACATTGTATCTAAACAGAATTTTAGGTCTTGATATGCTGAAAAGAATGTTATTCCTTCAAGAAAAGATGCACTAAATTGTTATTTGACAAGTCCATGTTAACTACTAGTTTTATATTTCTGATATATTTTGTAGTATATTTACAGTCTCTTCTTTTTTATGTCATTTCTAACCTATTTTAAATGATATGAACATGAGATCAGAAATGATGTAAAAAAGGAAGAGATCGTGAATATATCAAAAATCTAAAGTATTTAGTTTTAGACATGTCTTAAAAGTTGTGCACTTTTAGAAGTTGATCAAAACTATTTGAAATGTTTCCATCTAAATTATTTTCAGAGACATGGGATGAACAAATTTTTAAGTTGACCAATGTTCCGAGGAATTGTACCATTTTAAGAGTTTCTTGATATTTTAAGCTTACAAGTTGCTCTAGACTTTTAGAAATATGACATCATGAAAATGATTCGATGAAAGAATTAAAGTGTTTTAATTGACAAGTAATACAGTCAGGAATCAATATATAAATTGAAAAGCACTAGCTTCTCCAGATTAACAAGTTTTGTTATCATATTACAAGGAACGGTCCAACCAAATTACTCTCATATATAAACAAGTAACTTAGATTCATCTAGCTGTATTAAATGATACCTAATACATCCAGAGTCGAGATATAGTCTCCATGTGCATCCATCTCCTTGAACATTGTTTCAAGACATATTTAATGTTTGAAGATCACAACAGTCTCCCAGAAAAGATACAAGAGATACCTCAATGTGATTTACATCATTGCCTGTTAAGATAAAGCATAGAGGTATTGAACACCCTTCAACGCACCTAATCATGATGGAACATAACAAAAGCTACTTTCTGAAAGGTTGAGACATGTCAAGGGAGTTACATTTTGTAAAGTAGATGGAAGTGAGCCATAAAGAGCATCACTTCCCACAAATAGACTCACAAGGTTAATTAATGCACGTCCAAAAAAATAATGGAGTGTTAAATTCTGGTTATTTTCAGAAAGGTAATTCTAATCTTTGCAACCGAAGTAATGTTTTGAAAAATATTGCTACTTTGGTCGAACACACAAAAAAAAGAAAAAAGAAAAAAAAAAATAATTTGCATGACATACTTTTTTTAATTAGTTGATTTTTTTTTTGGAAAACACAAAAAGTTGATTCTCACATCCTATTTGATAACTACTTCAATTAATTTTGTGATTTTTAATAAATTTTAATAAGAGAGAGTATATTAAGAGGATTCTATTAACACTTCTCTTGCTTGAATTGTGTATTAGTATACAATCCTTTATCTCCACGTTAAAAACAATTTTATAAAATTGAGTAAGGACACTCTCTACATAAAAAAGGGACTCACAAAATTCAACGACCAAAAATATGTTGGGATACAAATAAAAATTTACATCATTAGAATAATAAGAAGTTTATAAACACAACAAAGTTTCAATTAGTGTGACGTCTTTTAGGTGATGACTAAAAGAAAATTCAAAATAGATGTAAAGACGAATGTGAATACCAATGTACAACATACTCTATCAAAAAATATTCGAAACAACCTAGAATATGAAATGGGAAAAATATATTTTTAGGAAACTTTCTCACCTCTATGAAGAGAATCGTGGAGCGAAGTTCTTATTACATGAAAATAGTAATTATTCCATTAAATATGTATATATATATATATATATATATATATATATAATATGACAAGAGATCTATTTATTATAAGAGTAAGTTTATTAGACTTACTCTATTCAATAATTCATGTTTTACATTAAATTTCAATAATTTAAGCATTTATACTGATATAAACAATCAATTATTTGTGCAAATAATCGTTTATTTCAAGTTTGTTCACATTTCGCAAAATTCAAATGATAGTTACTCGCACCAAATGCCCAAAGCTTCGAACCTTTCATTTAAAACCCTGACTCTTCACTTTTGAAATGCATTCTAACACCCAAAACCTTGAAACCTGACGTCTCTCATTATAAATCCATTATTCTTCAAGGTTCCCTCCCACATTCTTAAACCCTAACTCCCTTCCTACATTCAAACCTTCAAACTTTTCAACTCTTACCTCCAAACACTCTCATGCCCTTTTCTTTTTCTTCTTCTTCTTCTTCTTCTTCTTCTTCTTCTTCTTCTAAAAGACCAAGAAAGCTTGAAGTTAAGGGGAGTGACAAGTTCCTAGAAGAGAAAACCCAAAATGAGTATTTTGAGTGGTATGTTGGGAGAAGAATCATCCCACCAAAGACTATGAATTTGGAATGGTTCACCAATGAGGGGTTCACATTTCCATCCTTGTTGGAGTTTCAAGGGCTGAAGTAGTTTATGGAACTTCAAGGTCCTTACTACTCGAGTGGTGAGGGTCACTTTTGTTTGGCATCAAGTTAGGGGGAGTGACAAGTGCTGTGGTGAAGGGAGTACTCGTTAGGCTGAACGAACCTACCTTTTTGGCAATTATTGGCCTAAGGCGTATAGGCCAAGAATGACCATAAAGTGCAAGTTTTTGTGACTTTAGTGACATGACCACTTTTAGGGATTGTCAAAGAAACCTTGAGACTTCAAACTACAATAAGTTTTTGGTTGGTGGCATGAAGAAAAATGATAAACTCATTTCTTTTATTATTTCTTGGATGATTAATCCTAGGTTGCATAACCATGCTCAAATTTCTAGGGATGACTTACTATTGATTTATGAAATTAAAAATAAGGTAAAGCTAGATTGGGTATCTATTTTGAATGACTGTATTTTGAAAGTTAGGAGAAAGGAAAATGGTCTTTATCCTTATGTTTTACTATTGTCAAGAGTATTTGAGTATCGTGGAGTGGATCTCATGGGAGAAAAGAAAATTGTTCTCTACTCATCCAACAAGATTGGAAGAGCACCTCTTCATCACATGGGGATGAAGAATCAAGAGAATGAGTGGATTTTCAAAGGTGATGTGCCTCAAACTCCTAATCCTATGGCTAATGAGGATGGAGTAATAGGTGGTGATGAGATTGCTAAGGAACAAGAAGTAGAAAATGTTGGAGAAGCGAAACTTAAACTTAAACTGTTTTCTCCAGTTGAGCAAATCTTGATTAATAAGATGGATGTTATCATGGAAGCCAACAGGAAACATGAGTCTACATTCTTTGAGATGTTCGATAGATTTGATGAACTTCAATACGAGATTACCAAGATCAAACATCACTTGGGCATAGAGGATGACTCAGACTATAGGCTTAGCTTTAGGACTTTATGTTTTTTCTTATTATTTTGCTAGTCTTTATCTTGTTAAGTTTTATTGTTGTTGGTTTGTAATCATTTTAATCTTTGAACAATTTGAATTATAATGTTTTTAATCTTTTGATATTATGCACAATTTTCATTTTAAGTTCAAATTTGGTTATATTGTTAAATGCTTAAATTTAAATTTGTTATGCTTAAGTATGGTTTTTAAAACAGTGAATGTTTGAATGACTTAAACTAAATGGTAATGACTATAGTTGGTAATGACTTAGAATGTTTTGAATCTAAAAAATTTCATGGTTTACACTGCTTGTATAGTTTATATATGAACTTTTTATTGAGTGGATAATACAAGTGGTTGTGTAATTTACAATATTTGATATTTCTCTTGAACTTCTAGACTGGTATGGATTTGTTTTTGATGATGTCCACATGGGAGAAAGGTATGTAATTGTTTTGTAGGTTGAGTATACAAAGTATTGAAGCAACAAGAGTACAATTTGGTTTAAAAAAGAAAGATAGAGTACAAAAATAATAGTACAATTAGATAAATCAAAATAAATGAAAGGAAGAGTTGTCATCATTAAAATGGGGGATGGAGTTAATTTTTTATCAAGCTCAAGATGAAGACATGATCCTAGTTGGTTTTGATGATTACAAATAAGTTTTTTCAAAGTTGAGAGTGCAACTTGTAGTGAGTTTTGAGCCTCTTGATAACTAAAAGTGCAAGTTGTATCTTGTTTCGTATGGTTCTAAGCTTTGTTGCTTGTGTGCTTTGTAGTTGGTAAGTAACTTAGTTTTTTTTAATCTCTATCTAGATGATGATTAATGATTTAGATATATGTTAAAATCAATTTGTAAAGAGAAATGGTATGAAAAATCGAGATATTAAGTTTTTACTTAAAACAATTGATTATTTTAAGTAATAATCAATTATTTGCTTTGTTTTCCAGTAACCTGAGGAACAATTGCTATAATAATCAATTATTCAGTAAAATAATTGATTATTTCAGAAACAGGATTTTGGAATAATCAATTATTACTCAAAATAATCTATTAAAGTGTTCTTGGTTGATTTCCAGAATTGTTAAGAACAAAATAATCGATTATCCATGTAAACAATCAATTATTTTAGACAGAAAACTTATATATATATATAAATATATCATTTTTCACACTTTGAACAAAGAGACTTGATTCTTTGTGATAATTTTTGCGAAAACACTCTCTAAAATACATTTGTCTATGCAATAAGAGATTCTTTAACCTTTGTTGTAACCTCAAGAAAGTTTTTTAAGAATTGAATTGATCATCATCTTCATAGAGTGAAAGGTTAAGCCACCTACTCTAATATGTTATATACATCAGGTGAATTTGTTCATTAAACTTTTGTATTGATTGTTTTCTTAATTAGGTTTCTTAAGAAGGGAGAATCTTGTATGAGGTGCTACAAGTAGGTGCTTCTTAGGGTTTAAAAAGTGATTTCTTTAATATTATAGAAGTAATTGCATGTGGTATTGTGATTGTAAAACTTCTTATATAAAATATTAGTAAAAAATCTCAATCAGATTGATTTGGGATTTGATATAAATCACAAGTGGATGTGGTTGAACCAAT